GGTCCCCATCACCCACCATGTCCCTGCCTCCCTCCTGGAAGTACGATGCCAATGCTTGCCTGTCACCCATGGTTTCCAGACACCCCTCCAAGAGTCCCTCCAGGCCCTCCAAAACCCCCCCAGCCTCTCTGTATAGCACCAACCTGATGGAGAACGAGGTCTCCCAGAAGGAGGTGGAGATCTCCAAGCACCAGCCCTACCAGCTCCAGTCTTCACTCTTCATCCTCTCCCCTTCCAAGAGGCCAGCGAAGTCCATGCCCCAGGAGATGCCTCCGCCCAGACCCTCTCTTCCTGACACCTACCCCTACCCCCAGCAAACCTCCTGCCCGACCTCTCCATTGCCTCCTTCTCCTGTTTGGCATCCTCCCACCATGCCTAGCGCCGGCCAGACCACCTCCAGCCCCTTCCCCAGCACCGCTGCGGCTCTGCCCCTGACTCACAGCAGCAGTGCCAGTCCTGGAGCCCCAACCGAGGTGCTGCTGGCCTCCCCGTGCCGCCTGCTGCCGCCCCGAGTGAAGGGGGGCTTCCAGGCACCCCGGCCCTCCTACTCCACCAGGAACGCCGGCATCGAGCCGCAGGTGTGGAAACCTTCTTTTTGCTACAAGTAGCAGTGGCAGAGAGAAAAAGACGGGGGTTTTAGGCTTCCCTCCACCGGCTGAGTCCTCCCTAACTGCCAAACCAACACAAAAAAGAGGGGAAAAAGGGAAAAAGAAGTAGCTGGGAGGCTGCAGTGCCAGGACAGGGGCGAGTTCCTGGTGTAATGGGAGCCGAGGGGTCCCGCGGAGGTGGCAGAAGTTGGAGGCATAAAGCCTGTGGTATCCCAAAGAGCCGTCGGGAGCCTGCCCGTCCTGCGGGGCCACTGGCACTTTCTCTCTTCTGTCGCCTGGAAACTGTATGGAGCATCACATCTCTGGCTCCATCCTTTCCTCACCTCCTGCCTTTCCAGCTCTCATAGGCAGCAGCTGCTGGCTCTGCTCGCTCACCTCAGCCCTTCTGTCGTGCCGGCTCCTATCGGCCTGCTACCAAAGCAAACCTGGAGGGGACACGCTGCCTTTCTGCCGCACTGTGCCTGCTCCTCGCTCTTTTGCTGCTCCTTCAGGATCTGTCCTCATTTGCTTCCATGCCACGGAGGAGAGCCATATTCCCAGGGGAACAGCAGAGCCCCATGGTGCCGAGGACACTGCGGGTTCCCTGTCCCTCCCCATGCTCGGTGCTGGAGCTGGGGACTGGCAGCGCTGCTTGGCAAGGCCGGGAGGGAGGGATGTGCCGGGCGAAGGAGAGCAGGCAAGGGCCAAGCCAGCTGGGTGATGCTCAGCCTGATGCTTGTGGTCCAGCCGTGCCTTGGCCAGTCCCTCGCTCCCGCCGCTCTCCCTGCGATAACGAGTTGCCTTTTGACTGTGCTTTTATTTCTTCTGCCTTGTTTTGGTTTTTCCCCCCTCTGCCGTGCCCCCCCCTGCCTCTTCTCTTTCCTGCTGGTGTGGGAGCAGCTGCCGGGCAATGGACCCCAGAGGCGGCGCTGGAAGGGTCTCTGTGCATCATGCAGAGGGAGGCTTTAGGAAGCTGCAGGTAGTGAGAGGTCCTGGGTCATATTTTGGGCAAGGATGATTAATTACAGGCTCAGCCTGCCCCAACCTCCTTGGCTGGCAAGGGGATGCAGAGGCAAATGCATTTTTGGGGAGCCCTTGCAGGGGGTGCAATGCACGAGGCTGCACCCCAGTTCCTGCAGAGCTG